TCGAGAAGGTAGCGATTCCAGCTACGCTGCACCGCTGCATTGATACACCATGCATTTGTGTAGTGAATATGTCCGACAATTATGTAACCATGAAGAGGGGTAGGAAAATAGGTATGGCCTTGGAGACTGAGCAATTCGACGTAATGAACACCGAGTCACCAAGGATAAGTTCAGTCACTGGGGATGACGACGAAGTTGCCATGGGGGAAGGGATTACACCTGGGGTACCTGAACATTTGATTGGAATGTTAAATGTTTCTAAGTCTTCTCTTTCAGACTCAGAGTTCCAAGCACTCACTGCATTACTCGTTCAGTACCAGGACGCCTTCGCCGCACATCAGTTTGATATTGGCACCTTCGCAGAGATCGAGCACCGAATTGATACTGGGGATGCTCCTCCTATTAAACAACGTCTTCGGCCAACGCCGTTACGTTTCGCTGGTGAGGAAGAGAAAGAAATCAATAAGATGCTGGAAGCGGGAGTCATCCAACCTTCTGTTTCTGAGTGGGCGTCACCCCCAGTTTTAGTACGTAAACGTGACGGGTCGGTACGTTTTTGTATCGACTATCGTGCACTCAACAACGTTAAAGATGCTTACCCTTTACCGTTAGTCAGGGATTGCCATGATACACTCTCAGGTAATATTTGGTTCTCCAAGTTAGACGCTATCTGGGGGTACTGGCAAATCAAGATGAACGACCAGGACCGTAAAAAGACAGCTTTTGTTACCAAACATGGGCTGTATGAATTCAGTCTCTAATACACATCTAGATGTTTATAAGAGACAGGAGTGAGAGTGAGGAAAAGAGTGTACTGTCTCTTATACGTGCTGAGGGGACTCACTTGGAATACGGTACTGGCATTTCTAGATGATATTGTGGTATTGGGTAAGACATTCGAAGACCATTTAAATAACTTAGCATGCGTTCTTGAAAGGTTTCGTCAGAGTAACCTGAAACTTAAACCTAAAAAGTGTGTTTTCTTTCAGAAGAAGGTTGAGTTTTTGGGACGTATCGTGGGCGACGACACGTTATCAGTTTCCGATACCGATGTTCAAACCGTCCAAGAATGGCCTACTCCAAAGAACGTGAAAGAGCTGCAACAATTCTTGGGATTAACCAATTACCATAGGGAATTCATCAGCAATTTTGCTGATATTGCAGCACCATTGTATCGTCTTACCTGTAAGGACAGTGACTTCGACTGGGGAAAGCAACAGCAGCGAGCTTTTGAACAACTCAAAGCCGCATTAACGCAACCCCCGGTACTCGCATTACCAAACAGAGAAGATGAATTCATCTTAGACGTTGACGCATCAGATCAAGCTCTTGGTGGAGAACTCCTCCAAGTCCAGGATGGTCAAGAAAAGGTGATTTCTTACGCAAGCATGCGCTTGGCTAAGGAACAGCGGAATTATTGTACCACTCGTAAAGAACTTCTGGCCATAGTCTACATGACCTGTCTCTTATACACATCTAGATGTGTATAAGAGACAGGTTCAAACGAGTATAATAGATTTTTCTATGTAGCTCCTATAAATGATGAGATGTTATTGGGTGGAGATTTCCTCTATCCCAACAAAGCTGTAATTGACTTCGGGAAGCTACTATTAACTATTGGTGACAGCACCATATCTCTTAGAGGGGAGGCGACACATGACTCGAGATGTTAATCTAAACGTTATTAAAAATCTAACCATCAACTATTGGTAAAACCTAGTTAAAATAAACAATGGATAATTCATAATAAAGAATGCATTGATGAAATTTCTGTAGTATTATTAATGTAAAGGTGAACAGTGAAAACTTACGATGATTTTGCCGACAATTTTTTTGTTTACATCCAGTTTGAATTGGTGGCGCTGTTCAATATTTATTACGAATTTTCTTCAAAAATAAAACTGATAAAAAGTCGTATTCTAAATGGTTTATTTGTTTTTCACTGTCCAGTTCAATTATATAAACGTATTTCAATGCAGTGCATGTTTTTAACACTTTCAACTCTGTGTATTTTCGTAGAAAACACTGTCGAACTATGAGGTGGTATATCGGACTGGTAGCCGTAGCAAGGGAATTCGAACTTCGCGCGGAGGTCTCTCTTTGTCAGCGTCGTCTGCTATTAAAGGATAGCGAAAGAAAATTGAGGGCGCGCTACTTCCTTAAGCCGTAACGCATTAGTAGAAACTGCCGTGATCTACAGGGTTTACTCCGAACATGCTGATGCTAGGCCGGGAAATTAATCTTCCCGCTGATTTGATGTTTGTCCAGTGCCAGCCGGGGGAAGCTCAGGAAGTTGGGGACTACATCTCAGAATTGGTTCGTTCCATTCGGGACGCTCACGATATTGCCAGGGAGACCCTCAAGGAGACTCAGAAGCGCATGAAGAAGAATTACGATCTGCGTGTTCTGAAGCGGCCTTATAAACGTGGGGATAGGGTGTATATACTCGATAACAGCACCCCCAAAGGCAAATGCAAAAAACTTTGTCCTCCGTGGAAGGGTCCGGGAGTCATAATAGACGTCATAACTCCGTGTTTATTCAGGGTACAGTTGAGGAACAAAGTGATGATCCTCAATCATGATAAGTTGAAGCCTTGCCTTGATAGGCAGCTTCCCAAATGGTTGATTAACTATGTTTTACCACCTTCCTCTTTACCTACAGATAATGCGGATGATGCCCCAGGAACGCTGTATTGCAGTTGTCATAAACCCTGGGCAGGCGCCTTTATGATTCAGTGCGATTATTGTGATGTCTGGTATCATGGCTCATGTGTAAACATCTCGCCATCGGATGCCCTGGACATTGATTTGTATAAGTGTGCCCAGTGTAGAAACCCTGGCCAGCTGACTATTCACTAATGTGTAGTGTTAATAATTAGTTCAATTTCCCATGTCCATTTCTAACCACATGTATTGTATTTCCTTACTCTCGCAGAAATGGACAAGCAAGATCAGCTGCCGTCCGTTGATGAGATGGACGTCCAACTTAGTGTGGCTGAGGAGAATAACCTCCTCGCCGATTCACCTCACCCGCCACCACTGGAGTCACTCCCGCCCGCAGAGCCGTTGCCGCCAGCAGAGTCGTCGTCAATGGAGCCTGAGGCGGATGTTCATCCAGTGGAGCAAACTCCATCCTCAGCCGAACCATCCCAACCCGGAGCAGGAAAACGCCCATCACTGCCTCCGGAGAATGCTTGTGTTTGGCCGGGGTGTACTATTAAGAGGGTCGTAAATATGAGGGTGCATGTTATGGGCAAACATGTCCCACAAAATCTGAAACCCTTGGGTCGTAGTTATCGACGCCAAGCCCAACGGCAGCTCGACGTTTTAAGACAACTGGCTGTAGCGTGTATAGGTGAAGGAGCCACCTTACACGAACTCATGATCCGCCTCAACCGAGAGAGAGGGATGGGAGAGTCCGGGG